CACATCAGCACAACGAGCAACGCACACGGGGCAAGGGGCTGGGAGAGGATCTCTCAGCAACAATAGCATGCTTAAAGGAAGGGTCTTCTGCAGAAGTGATAAATTCCTTTGTGTGCGAGCCAAATTATACTTCACTGAGAAGTGCTATCGCACAAGATCAACATGGAGACCGCTTGTCATAATGTTGGCGTTTCTGAAACCTCTGACACGTTTTCTGAAACCTCTGACACCCCCTACCCACCCTGTGTGCTGTACGCATTGTTGAATACGCGAGGCAACCAACAACAACAACAACAACAACAACAACAACCCACCTCGGAGACCTCTCGCACAGCATCGCCCGCTCCCGTGCCGCTTCCTCGTATCATATCCCATAAGGTGCTACTAGCCGACATTGCATCTTCCCCGTAACGCTCGCCTGGGAAAACGCCAAGCATAATCATATCATCAACAACAAAACGATAAGAATTCACGAACCTATCGTAGTGTGGTGTTTAGCTTGAGACAGGTGTTGTAAGCGTATCATAGTGTCGTGTTTAGCTTGAGACAGGTGCCACAAGTCTGTCGTAGCTTGAAGCTTGAGACAGGTGCTACAAGTCTGTCGTAGCTTGAAGCTTGAGACAGGTGATACAAGCCTATCGTAGCTTGAGACAGGTGATACGAGCCTATCGTAGCTTGAGACAGGTGATACAAGCCTATCGTAGTATACCGTAGTGTTCAGCTTGACACGGGTGTACCAGCCACAAGTCCCGTAACAATCCCTCTCCCAAGCACAGCAACTACGACGAAGCTGCCGTGGTGCATCCCAAGCAACACCCACCGCCGAGACTTTGCAAGCAAGACGGTGGCAGGCTCGTTTTGTTGGGCATTCGAAATGACACTCGCACCATGAGATAAAAAATTATGGGGATCCAAGTGTGCCTTCTACCTGATGGCGCCATCATCGAACCAAAAACGACCCAGAAATGAACTACCGCACCTTCTCAGGCAAACAAACCGTTGAGAGAAATTTCTACTGACGCACCCTCATTGGTAGCACCGGTCTCGAGCTTAACGCCGACCGGCTGAAGAACCTCGCCTTCCCCCTCCTCCTCTTCCTCCTCCGCTTCTTCCCCGTCCCACCCCCCCTCCCCGGCTGCAACACCATTTCCTCCTCCTCCTGCTCCTCCTATCGGCTGTAACCGCCTCTCTTCGCCCTGCTCCACCGTGGCACCTCCCCGCCGGCCTGCGTTACCGCTGGCGCCAATCCCTTCCGCCCCCGTCTCTGCCACCCCCCCGCCGTCGCCGCTGCTGCGGCTGCGACCAATAGTTGCCGCGGCCCCTCCGCCAACTACCGTCACCGCCACGGCTGCTGCTGCCGCCGCCGCCTCCGCTGAAACGCCACCAAACCGGTCGTCGGAAGAAAAGAGCTGAGCGGAGATGCTCCCAACCCGAGCGAGTATATCGGGCTCGCGGCCTGCAAGGTCCGCCAGGCCACCGGAGATCTTGTCGTAGATCTCGCCTGCCGTGCCGGAGAGTGCTCGGCCCCAAGTTTCGAGAAGCTGGGGACACTTTCAAGAGCATGTGGGCGGGCGGACGGACGGACGGACGGGAGAGAGTACTCATGTTTTGAGCTTTTACACCACTGACCGTGCGACCTCGAGAGGACGGAGCGGGTGGGAGGGGGTCGATGAGATCGTCAAGTGAAGCCAAACGCTCCGCTCCGCTTTGCGAGCTACGACGGGAGTAGGCTGGCGGCGTGATGTTGTACTGCTGCATCGGTATTGCCGCATCAACTCACGATGTGAAGACAATCACGGATGGTAACCTACTACTGCTGCGTCTGTTGCCGCTCCTCCTTGTACTCAAAACTCCTATGCATACCACGGCCACCCGGATACCACCCATGTATAAATACCACACACGGCCTACAAACCCTCTTCCGGCATACGGTACTATTCAACAAGGCTAGACCGAGAGCTGTACTCTTCTCCTCGCTTAATAAATGCAAGGCAAGCACCGCAGGAGGGGTGGTGTTGGTTAGGGGGGGCCTCAGGGGACGACGAACTGGAGCTAGCTCCTACTCGGCTGTGAACGATGATATTGCGTCGCCATACCTAATAATTGTTTTTGTTTTTTCAAATAACCAAACGCATCCAAACATCTGCAGCGTTGGCAAGTACCACAAAAAACGTTACCACGCGAATTTCAAACAAATCGGGCAGAACAGCGGGAAGCTTTCTTCGCTACTCTACGGTGCTCGCTCTAGACTGCTGTAGCTTGCTGTAGCTGGCTAACTCCAACGAGATTACGAAAAGAGAAAAAGAAAACAAACACCGACCCCCGGTCGTCTTCTCAACCACCGCAACCCACCCGTGCTGACAGCCCCGAGGCTTGCCCTTTAAGGGCGGGAAGCCCATCCACCACCACAGCTGACCTCGACGACACCGCGGACACCCCCTGGTCCACGGCCCGCCCGGTCTCCCCGACGGCCTTCAACACCACGTCCCTTCCCCGCCCGAACGCCTCCGAGAGACGGCCACCGGCGGAGAGCTTGTCGGCGACCGGGGGAGCGACTTGTGCCGAGATGCGGTCTACCTCCGCCTGGAGGTTCTCCAAGCTGGCGCGAGCCTTCAGGGGGGGGGGGGGGGGGG